TCGGTCAGGGGCTTGCTTGTCGAGGAAGGTTGAACGGCCAGGCACCGCCGTGAGCCTGCTCCGCTCGAAGGCTTTGACGGACGTGGGCACCGCCGCTGACCTGCCACCTGGATGTTGGTGGCAGACATTAATAGAGTATAAGAAAGGGACTGAGACCTGGCAGAAAACCCCTCCCAAAGGCCTTTAGGGGCAGGCAGGCTGAAATACTCACTGTTCTCAGCAGTGCCAAAGTCACTGCATAGTGATGCTCTCTGGCTAGATATTTCTATATATATAATCTCCTTTCTTTTACATAGTATTACAGTTCATGCCTTATGAGCTCACAGACATGGTCAAAACATGTTGATTTTCTTTTCCTGGTTTGGGGTGGGAGGAGGAGGGGAGGTATAGATAAAAATAAAACTGGGATGTTGGATAGCAGCCAATTTAATTGGCAGGTGCCCCCCTCCCCCAGAGGTGCAAATCAGAAAATCCTACGAGGTGCTGCTGGTTTCAGATCCTGTCTCACAGAAAATCAACCAAAGGTCTCAAGGATCAATTGGAAAGTGTTGGATTATGTTCAGAATTCAGCGAGGCACCAAATGGATTATACAAACCGCTTTGTGCCCTGAATTGTTTTTCAGACTTGGTTTACAGAGATACATTTAAAGAAATCTTTATGTTCAACATAGCTTTGATATCTGTATAATATAAAGATTTTCCTCTTCTATTCCCACCTCTTAAGAAAGCTAAGGTCACCTTGAACATACTTCTGGTTTTCCTTTGGGTGGTAAGGCAACCATATTAGCATCTTTCTTTTAAAATTAACAGAAACGTATGCCGTCTGTGACATCCAGCTTTTAAAGCAGATGTTATCATTTGATCATCGCATTTGATACATGCCTGTCTCTGTACCTCATGCTGACAATCCACTGAGTTTTCTCAGCCTTAGGGACATGCACTGAAAAGTTATGGCTTGAAAATTTCTGGCCTCGAGGTTTGACTTGGGAGCCAATGGTTTTCAGGACTAGAACTCTCCCGATTTAACACAGACCCATTTGTTACTCGTGACGTAGCTTCCACTCGAACATCTGTCCTGGGTGTTGTGCAGGCACTGGAGCCAACAGGGAGGGCTGGTGGACTTTATAGTATCTATCGGCAAGCCTGTTATTGACTTTATTTTCCTGAAGGAGAAACCAGGGTATCTAAGGTTTATTGATTTGCCTATAGTGATTCAGTGAGTCGGCAGAGACTAGGGAGTAAGACCAATTTCTTGGCACCATTTCCCGTGGACACAACCCCTTACCTTACAATGCCTAGACTAGAAGCCAAGAATCCATCTCAGAGAATTTGATCAGAAAACATATGAAGGGTGATTCGGAAACCACAGAAGCATTGAGAAAGTCATAAAGATGTATAATATATGATAGCATTTACCAGCTATAAATAGGGAGGTGCAGGGAAAACAATAGAGACCTTGTCAATCCATTGGGTCAGGAGAAATAGAAAGTGCTTAATATTTCATTAAAAATGGATTCTCATAAATTGCATGTTGATATCTTTGGGCAAAAGACAATATGTAAGGACCAAGGTGTTATTTAGTACTCTTTGTTATTAATAATTTGAACTGTTATTGAACCAAAATATCCACAAGGTACACTCTCCCTCTGAGTGGGGTACTCACCATGTGTTCTGGGCACCATTGTAAAAGTATAAAACCCACAGAACTTGTCCACAAATGCACCGAGGCTATAAGATGCCCTGTTACAAAGTGGACACTCCCAGAGCAGTGCTAGACTGGAAACTCTTGTGAAGGAAGCCTCAGAATCTGGGGGCCAGAATGGACCTTACAAATCAACTCATACAATCCCCTCATTTAATAGAGGAGGAAGTTGGGGCCCACACTTTTGAGCTAATTAACAGTAGAGTCTGTCCCCTGACTCGTTCAGTTGTGTTTGGATTTTTGGGAGAGTTTTCCCACTATGCCACACTCAGAATGAAAGGTGTATGTATAAATAATTTAATAAAATAAGAAGGCATTCCTTCAGCAAAGGGTCCAAATTGCAGAGGGCAGATATGAGCACAAGATCAAAAACAAACAAGAAACCAAGAAGGAACTGGCCTTGGAAACATGAAGGGTCATTTGAGGTCACGTGGAAAGAGCCTCATTTGGTTCCCGGGGTGGGAGAAGCTGAGCAAAATGGAATGGCAGAGTGAAGTTCAATTTGAGCAGCCAGGTTGATGGCCTGGGACAGATAAACCCAGTGTGTGCCTCCCTTGTCACTGATGTCGCTGTAGGCAGAGACCTGAGGTGCTCCCTCAAAGCCTGTGACCACGTGCACCCATGGGGAGACCAGCCTTCTCCCTGGACGTGTGTGCACACACATGCAGCCACACTCACACACTCGCCAGCCTCCCAAAGGCAGTCCAAAGACACAGTCATTTCCTTACTAAGGACCTTGGAATGATCTGCCAAGGCTGAGAGATGAAGGGNTGCGGGGAGAAAGGTTCCTTGGAATGATCTGCCAAGGCTGAGAGATGAAGGGGTCAGATAAGATAAAACTGGGTATTAGAAACACATACGACGTGCTGTGTTTCTGAACAGGACCAGCGTGGCCCGTGTGCTGTGGATTGCAGCTGTGTTAAAGTTCGAATCCACTCAACACTCCAATGACCTATCACATGGCCAATCAAGCCCCCACCCCTCCAACTCCGTAGCCTCTGCTGACGAGGCCACACGCAGTCACTGTCATGGTCCTCAGGGAGCTGGCCAGTGGTGGTCCCCACTGCTCACAGCACCTGCGGAAATAAGCAGAGCACTGCACTTGCTGCTTCCTTGCCAAAGCAACACAGAAACGAGCACAGCCTCAGCTGCACGCTGATGTCTAAGCGAACTAATTAACCTTCCCTGAATGGGCTCGGTCCCTCTGTCCTCGGAGTGTCCGAGTACTTGATGAGCACCCAGGAAGCTAAGGAATGGGCAGGGTGAGGCCGGGGCCTTCCAGGGCCTTGTTCCCCCTCCGGTCGTCCCTCTCTGAGGTTAAGAGCCTCAGGCTCCTTTCTCCACTTCTCTCTGAAGGTCTTCTCCCAGGTGTCTGGCTCTCACCCTCTTTCCGTGTGTTTCCTGGGCCCTTCTTTGTCTCTTCTAGCCCCTCTTTGGGCTCAGTCTCTAAGCATAAAGCAGCCAGAGTGACCCTGGGAGAGATGCGTGGTTGAGGGTCCTGCCTCTGTGCTCCCTGTGGTCAGCAGGGCGGCCGAGGCAGAAGCTGACAGCCTCGGGACCAGGACAGGAGGCTCCCCGGGATTCGGTGGGCTTAGCACGGGAACAAGAGGTTTAAACAGAATATGGTGGGCTGGTGACAACCTCCTTCTTCCTCTCCTTTCCTCTATTTGTCTTAAGCAAACCACTTCTCATGTGGTTGCAAAAGGTGCGATGTCTCTTAACCCTTCACCCTCACCATCAGGGATGTGCTGTATATTAAATGGCTCTGACTTTGGACCTTAGCAAGCAGGGAATATGGGGAGTTCCAGGTTGCCAGATGGCAGAGCTCCTAGTTACACCTCCTGGGGAAGAGAGGACCACGTTGTTCATTAGCTCTGAGCTTCCGGCTGCCCTTTGCTGTTACCCAGGGCATTCTCAGTTGGGATTATAAACACACCGGGAGCAGCAGCTCTGCCTCCATTCAGTCTGCACTTGGAGACCAGAAGGGCTCCATGACTCCTAGCCACCAACACAAACACTGCAAGTGTGTTAAAAGAGATGAGAGCCTACCTAGGAAACTACAGCCTAAAACCATGGCAAGGGCTTTGCATCCAGACAGATATCTCTGAGCCTCAGTTTCCTCATCAATAAAGTGGGAATAACATTTAACCTGTGGGGTGTTGTGGATATGATTGTCTTTACGAAGTGTAGGCTCGAATATTCGAATATATCAGCTTCCCAGCCCTGTCAATGAACAAACACCTGGCACATTCCAGGTTTCATAAGCTGAAGCATCTACCAACTCTCACCCAGGAGAAACTGCTGGCTGTTGCAGAGTTGGCTGTGAGCAGATTTATAGTGACTTGGTTGTTATAGCTATGACAGGTATGATTTAAACGTGATGGCTGGTTAGTTGGTCTTTCACCCCACCCTTATCCAGGAAACCAAGAGAAACTCACATATACTTGCTCCAGCTACTTTTTTTATGGAGAGCACACACAAGAAAGCATAAGGTCCATATGGCAGTTATTGATTCGGGCCATCTGGTAAGCTAGGACTCGCTCCCACCATGTTGGATTAGAAGCTATTCCGAAAAGCCTTTCCTCCCATAAGAGACGCATTGGTCAGATGGGGACAGGGATGGATTTCATTATAGGGCGGGGACTACAGCTAGAGGAAGCCAGAACAGGACTCCAAGGGGACCGTCTGCAACCCTGACCTACAACAAAGACCAGAGAACCAGGAACATGTTGATTGACACAGGGGCACTGGGGGTAGACGGTGCCCCCCACCCTCTCACCCATTCATGGCGCAAGGAGGCCTCTAAGTAACTAACAAAACAATTGTGAAGCACTTCACAGTTATTAAATACTCTGCAAATATTACTATACGCCTGCAACATGGGGAAGGAGGAGAGTCAAGTTCAAGCTAGTGAGTGAGGTCCGCTAGCCCTACAGGATGACATTTCTGCTCCATTTTTAAAGGATATCCTACATTTTTTTCCTTCTTGCTCAGCTTCTGAAGTGTTTTCCTTTTCAAGGCTCCTTCCTCTGCTAGCTCTCAGCCCAGAGGCACAATTTTCCTTGCCTCCAAAAGTTTTTGTGAAGACCACTTATTGTTTTTAAGTTAGAGTTCTGTGAAAAATTAAATTTTTTTCATGGTGCTGCTAAAAAAGCCCCAAACAACAAACCCACTGGTTATTTTTAAACTTGAGGGAAATAAAACTCAACAGAATTTTTCTACCCTCTTCAAAGGCTGCACCGTTGGCCCAACTACAAATGGGGATGCTATTGATGTGATTCTGCATCTTATGTTGCAGGTGTTCCAAGCCAACAACGACGCCACGGAAGTGGTTTTGAACAGGCTGCACACGCCGCTGCTGACGAGGTTCATCAGGGTCCGCCCTCAGACCTGGCACTCGGGCATCGCCCTCCGGCTGGAGCTCTTTGGCTGCCGGGTCACAGGTGAGGTGGGGCTCCAGAGAGGTTGGGGAGCTGATTACATCCGGGCTCTGCTCTCTTTTTCAGCCCTCTTCCAACAGCATGATCGCACCATGTGACCTTTCGAGAAGAATTGGCTCAAGGACTCAAGTCCTAGCAGAATTCCTCCATTCATTCATTCGTTCATTCAGTATATGTTCATTAAACGCCCACTATTTCTAGTAGCTAACATTTATTGAATGCTTATGTACCAGGTTCCATTCTAAGCACTTAGGTGTGTTATCTTTTAGAATCTTCATAAAGACTCTATGAGGTAAGTGTTATTATTCTGTCCATTTTACAGATGAGAAAACCAAGACTTAGAGACTTAGGTCCCCCAGCCACTAAGCGGTGGATCCAAGGTTTGAAACTAGGCAGTTTGAATTCAGAGTCCAGGTCTCAAATAACACTTTCTGCTGCCTCACCTGGGGGGCAAGAGCTATGCAAGGTGTTATGGATACACTGATGAGCTCACTGACCCAGCTCTGTGGGGACAGCTGGACAGGCTGGGAGGACATAGTAAGAAACAAACAAACCCATAAATAGAGATAAATCAAAACTATGACAAGGAACATTGTAGGGGACTTGACCCAATCTTGGAGGTCAGGGAGGAGGAGGACTTCCTTGAGGAGGTGGTGACTAAGCTGAGGGCAAAGGGCACACAGGCATTAAAAACTGGAGGGAAAGTTCACCAGGGAGTGATCACAGCTTGCTCATGGCATAGGAACAAGAAAGACCAAAAGAGAAAGTGAGGGGGTGGGCATGGAATGCAAGCTGAGACCCCAGGGGTGCACTGTGGAGGGCAGATTGGAAGGACCAGAGTGGGAGCTGGGATAGTGATCGAGGCTGGTGCAGTGGTGTGCGTGAGAGAAGATGGTGGCTGGACCCGCCCCAGCTGTGTGTGAACAGTCTGAACCCTTCACCTTGTAGACTAAGCCCAGAGCAAGCAAGCTGCTTCTTTGCCCTGGAAGAGTCTTCAGTGCACATCTGGCCCCATCCTGTCCCGTAATTATCCCAGCTCTGAAAGGGAGTGCTCCATGGCAGGACCTTGTTTTAAGCTTCGAGTTAAAATACCTCGCATTTATACAGTCTGCATATTCCACATGCCTTCTTTGCATACCAAATCATCTATTGTCTCTAACAGCCCTTGAGGTGAGTGGGGCAGAAAACCAAGCCTCAAAGAGGATAAGCAGTTTGCCCAAAGTCGCCCAACAAGGAGGCAGCAGAACCATGAACTGAACCCACATTTTCTCAATATAAATTCTCTGCTCTTTTCTCCTTTGCACAAAGACTTGGCTTCCCTCTTATGGGAGTGGTTCATCCTAACCCCATGTAGGAGACGGTTTTCTGTTCCCTTCACATTGCTGTTCCAGGTCAGCACAGCCTAACCAGCAAGGACTTAGTTAAAACTCATTTTCTGGAAAATAGAAAAGAGAGAACCAGGGGATTTGAAGAGTTGGGACCACCTGGAGGGTCTGTAATTCAGTTTACAAGTGTCTAATGTGCACTGACAGTGGACCCTGTCTTCTCCACTCACTCATTTGCTCCACAAATATTTATTGGAGGCCTGCTGTGTGCCAGGCCCCATGCTGGGAGCTGGGGCCAGAGAAGTGAGCAAAGCAGATGGGATCTCTGACATCACGGAACTTTCAGGCTAGTGGGCAGGATAGCTAATTAACAAAGACAAGTACTGGATCATTATAAACGAAGATGTGTGTCAGGAGAAAAAGAACAGGGTGCTCTGAGAAAGAGTGACCGAAGGGACCTCATTGACTGTCGATTGAAAGTTTGGGGACAGCCTTTCTGAGGGTGTGACACTTAAGCATTGAGGATGAGGAAAGGCTAGTCTGGCAGCCACGGAAGGGAAGAGCGTTCGGGGCAGCAGGAGCAGCCGGTGGGAAGGAGAGGAGGCAGTAAGGAGCTTTGATAACACCTGCCGAAGTAGAGATCTGACCCCAGCAAGGTTTCCATCCAACTGGGAAAACAGTCACCCAGGAAACAGTGCTCAGCTGAGCTCCCCCCTGTGCTCACTGCCTCTGGGAGGGTCATTGGGGACTGGCGCCACCAACAGCGATAGGAGGGTGCTTAGCTAACAGCGTTAGATGCTTAGACATGTCAGGCACTGGGCTGTGAGCTTTTATATAGTCACTGACGGAATCCTCACAACGACCTCCAAGAGGTAAGGACTACTGTTAATCCTCCTTTAGACCTGGGGAAACTGAGGCACAGGGCCATTCAGTCATTTGTCCAAGGTCATGCAGCTAGTAAGTGGCAGAGCAAACATGAGCCCAGACAGCCTGGCTCCCAGGCTCGGCTCTCAGCCACAGCACTATTCTACCTTGAAGTGCAAGGAAAGTAGTGCTGACTTTAAAGTGTTCGATACCGGTTGGTTGGTTTTTTTTTTTCCAGCTCCCTACAGATGGAGGGTGGTCCCCAGTTGGCATGGTGTTGGCCCTGACCTCCTGTATCTTCCTCCCCTCTCCGCAGACGCCCCCTGCTCCAACATGCTGGGGATGCTCTCGGGCCTCATCACCGACTCTCAGATCTCGGCTTCGTCCACCCGCGAGTACCTCTGGAGCCCCAGTGCCGCTCGCCTGGTCAGCAGCCGCTCGGGCTGGTTCCCCCGGATCCCGCAGGCCCAGCCGGGTGAGGAGTGGCTTCAGGTGGACCTGGGAGTGCCCAAGACGGTGAAAGGCGTCATCATCCAGGGGGCCCGAGGAGGAGACAGCATCACTGCGGTGGAAGCCAGGGCATTTGTGCGCAAGTTCAAAGTCTCTTACAGCCTAAACGGCAAGGACTGGGAATACATCCAGGACCCCAGGACCCAGCAGCCGAAGGTAGGCCGTTCCTGGAGGACTCTGTCACCTTAAGTCGGGGTTGCTGGTTTCCCATCTAGACAGTCCTCACCAAACCCCTATAATCCAATATAACAGATATTAATTAAGAGATTACTCTGTGCCAGGCACTGTGCTAAATGCCTTATTGTAATCATTATTATTTTAATCCTTACAACATTTTTAGAAGGTAGACCCTTTGTCACTCCCATTTCAGAGATGACAAACTGAGGCTTGATATCATGCCCAGGATCACACAGTGTACCTGAGGTAGTTCCATGGTACAGACCCCATAAGTCTGACTCCAGAGCCCAAATGCTTCTCTGTAAAGTTCGGCACCCCTCGTACTCTCATTCAGATAAAGTTTCCTTCGAATTGGCCAGATATCCAAAGGAGATGTGGTTTTTGGAGACTAAACTATAGAAACAAGGGATTTACTTCCAAAAACAACTGTGTTTTTCTGACTGTTGCTGCCCTCCTTTACAGTTTCCTAGTCTTGACTCTTAGATCTTTCCTGCCTCTCGTACTGAGGCTGGGGAGGTGCCAGAGAAACCTGCTCCAGGCCTGAAGTGCAGGCCAGTGTAGCCCCTCAGCCGTCAGAGAGGAGTGGAGGGCACGGAGGAGCCCCAGGAAGGAGAGAAGACATGGAGTCTCTTCTCTAGGTCAATTTCCCAGTTAGCCAGGCTTTCCCGTCCTCATTTCTAAGTTACCCCTAGTTTTCCTCAGAAAAGCAGGGCCCCTAGCAAGGAAAGGGTATCACATGTCCCTGTTTAGCCCCTTTACTGAGCAAATGTTTTCATTCTTAGTGCAGAGGCGAGGGCTGGGCTGGAGGTTTTGCAATGCTGATGTAAGCTCTCAGCTCACAATTCCGGAGGCTAGAAAGGCTCAGGGCTTGGTAACCGGAACCTCCAGTGGATGGAGCAGAAATTGGGCCACAGGCTTCCCCGGGGAGAGCTGACCCTGACTCTTCTTAACCATTGTGGGGGCCTGGGAAAGGAGATGATCTTAGCCAGGGTCAGAGCCTGCCTTCCCTAAGACAGCCCCCCCCCCCCCCC